TAGCAGGCTTGACTGCTGGCGTTTAAGGATCTGCCAAGGTGTGGCACTTTGGATTCCTCCCTGGATGTGAGGCTCTGCCTGCTCCACAGCAAGCTCTACAATGGGTTGAGGCTCGGCAGGGATGGTGAGGAGTTGGGCAGGCTGTAAAAATAAGGGAAGGAACTTCAGAGGATCCAGACAGACCCAGAAGCTGCAGCCAACGTAGGCCACCCTCCCTGTGTTCTCCATTTATGTAAGCGTGATTCCATGTTTAGTGGCCAGCTTGGGGGAGAGCTCTTAACAGTAGGTATCACTGCTATCACTGGGCCTGAGCGTCACCAAGCCGCCAGTTCTGTAGAAGACACAGGGTGAGATCTGAGGCCCAGAGACAACCCCCGCCCCATGTTCTTGGCTTCACTGGGATACACCATTAAAACTGCTAAAAACAAGAGAGCCAGACAGGTTTCTGGAAAGTTCTTAAGTGGGGGATGGAGGACGGAGGTGGGCACCTCCAGCTCTGTAGGACAGACCTGAGGACACTAGCATATGCTTTCCGACTCCCAGGGAATGTGTGTGGAAATGCTCCCCAGGCAGCAGGAAGGAGCTGGGCAATGTCAGTAGCCAACTCTGAGGCTCTCCAGAAACATCGCCTTTAATATTTACACTTAGAACAGGAAGAGGAAGGCAGTTCCTCTCCTCCCCGTAGAGTCCTCAACCTCTAGGCACACACCTAACTGGTGGCTGTTGTCTGATTGGCTTGATCCCAAATGGAACCTCTGGACACAGTGTTGCCTCTAACTTGTCCTCCACCCAAAAGGGAAATTTCCCACGGACTCAGGAGCAGGAGTGCACTGACCCTCCAGGGTGCCCCAGGGACCGCCTGCAGCTCACACGCTTCCTGGCGCACACACAACACTCCTCAGAACTTGAGGAGGTTTTCCTTCTGCTTCAGTGGTTATTTGAAAAGCACAGTACCATCTCAATGGCTGGACGGGCCCACCTCCCATGGGCAGCTGCAGGCAGGCATCCAGGGTCCTAGGGGCTCTGTGCAGAGGTCAGCAGCATAGCCAGGGTTTGCTCCCAGCCATTTGGGGAGTGTACAGCACTGGCAGGGGAGCCACCTGAACAGAAGCATCCTGAACATTTGCTGAAATGGGTCATTTCCATTTTGTTTGATTTTGTTTTGTTGAGATAGTTTCTCTGGGTAGCCCTGGCTGTCTTAGAACTAGCTCTGTAGACCAAGCTGGCCTCAAACTTACAGAGATCCACCTGCCATCGCCTCCTGAGTGCTGGGATTAAAGGCGTGTGCCACCACCACCAGGCTTCAAAACATTTTTTAACACAAGAATTTTCCCTGTGACCGCTTCCAGGGCCTTATCTTAACTAACACGGGTAGACATTCTCTGGTTGCAGCTGGTGAGGAGTGCAGTTCTAGCCATCGCTCCAGAAATGTCACTCATGCGAGCAGCAGAAAGAGAAATCCATGCCCTCCTGTCACACACCCCTCCTCCCTTGAAAGCACACTTCTGGGAACACTCATGTTCCTCAGCTTTCCCTGTTCAGTTAACCGGCCCTGTGTGTTGGGGGGGTGGCGTCTGCCTGCCACTTGCCTCTCCTTGCACAGCAGAGCTGCAGGTGCACGGTCCACTGCTTCCGGGAAAGCAAAGCCCAGCCCCCTGTGACTCCACAGTCCTACTTGAGGGCTGCCTGGAACCCCTTCCAGCCACCCTGTCTCCTCTGTAAGTTCCAGTTGCTGTCGGAAGACTGGCGCGTTCCTGCAGGTCCTCCATGGCCTGGCTGTGGCAGCTCACAGGGCAGTGTCCACTGGCACAGGCGCACAGATCAGGCTGCGGAAACCCTGGCTTGTGCCGGCCTCCAGGCACATGTGGGTGGTTCTGGGGTCAAACAGCACTCATGTCAAATGGCCCTCTGGGAAATCTCCACGGGACCACTACCCACTGCAGCTGTCTCTCCATGGTACGGGCTGTGACTTGGACAATGACTTTTTGTTGTTAGGCCGTCGTAATGGAAGGTGCCTGTTTGTCCATTTGCTCACTCACTCACCATGTGCCGTGCTCGGGATAAAATGCCCTTGACTTCACTCTTGGGGACTCTGCCATAGAGGCCCCCATCTTCCCACTCTGACACCGCCTCGTTCTCCCCCATATGGTCTTCCCTCCTTGAGCGCCTTTCTCTTCTACAGATGTTCTAGAAAGGAAAAGGAAGGCGAGGGAGCAGGATTTATTGAGTAACTGCTCTTTGCCTGGCTGTGAGGCATCTATGATTAGACCGGGTAACCCAAGCTTTGAGAACTGGCCCTGAGGTGTCTTCTAGGCTGGGCCAGGCGAGCCTCTCCGGAGGGCAGAAGCCCTCGCCCTGGAGTACATACAGAAAAGCTGTAACTCTGGGGAAGACAAATGTCACAGGTAGACACCCTGCAGACGGAAGGAGCTGACAGTATGCATTGTTGATCACCGTTCCTGGAAGACCTTCAGCAGAATTGCTGAGGATGGGAGCAGGGCTCTGCCTCCATGCACACACAGGTGTCGTGTGTAAGTGCAGCAGGCACTCCCATGCTTCATCACAGTGCGTATGTGGAGGTCAGAGGCCCACTTCACCTTCCTTCTTAAGACGGGGTCTCTTGTTTGTCACTGCATTCCAGGCTAGCGAGCCAGTGAGCTGGGGACTCTTGTTCCTACCTCCCATCTCACAGTCGGTGCTGAGGTTACAGGTACAGCTCCCACATCTGTTATTACGATCATTGTCCACGAGTCTGTGGGATCTTTACTCAGGGCCACACATTCGCATGACAGCACTTCACCACCGAGCCACCTCCTCAGACTACACAGCTTCAGCACACACACAGAAGTGACCCCACTCACATACTTGCAAATGTGCACAAAGACAGGCTCGGAACAGCTCATTACCCATACATGTGCCAGGCAACTGTTAAACACATAGTTGGAGAGCTGCTCTGGCTGTGTGGCTCATCCATTGCAAGTTCTCTGTGAACATGAAGAGCTCCAGAACTTGCTTAATGGAAAAAGCAAGATACGTCTACTGGGGTGATCTGGGGAGTGATCTAAAAGGGTGGACGGAAAAGGCAATGGGAGGCCAGCAGGAGGCATGCTGCTCTCTGAATAGTCGTGTAGTTTCTGAGTAGTAGTGTGTGTATAAAGAAGTACACATCTTTATACCAGGGCCAGGCATGGTGATGCACTGGTGGGTGGGCAGAGCCAGGATCTCTGAATTCAAGGCGAGTCTGGACTGTGTAGTGAGTTCTAAGCCAGCCATGGTTACATGGTAAGATCCTGTCTCAAAAGTAACATGAGTCAAAATATTTTTGAGGCCAGGTGGTGGTGGCACACATGCCTTTAATCCCAGCACTTGGAGGCGGAGACAGGAGCATATCTGTGAATTCAAGGCCAGCCTGGTCTACAAAGTGAGTTCCAGGACAGCCAGGACTGTTACACAGAGAAACCCTGTCTTGAAAATTTTTAAAAATATTTTTTGAGTGGGTTGAAGAGATGGTTCAAGGTTTAAAGGCATTCGCTGCTGGCAGAGGACCTATGATTTGATTCCCAGAACCCATGTGGTGGCTCATAACCATCTGTAACTTCAGTTCCAGGGCTTGCTTTGGCCTGTGCTGGCCTCCACAAGCACCAGGCACACATGTGGTGCTTAGACATTATTGCAAGCAAAACACCCATACACAATAAAAATATTTTTTAAGCTTCAAGTTTAGGCTCTAGTAGGCTGGAACCCTCATAGGGCAACAGGGGACAGTGAGCACAAGCTAATTTCTGTTGAGCATCTACTGTGAGCGTGGTATCCCCTAGATGTCGTGTGAGCACGGTATAGATTTAATCCAGTCTCTATGTATTTACATCCCAGACTTTAGAGGCTGGTGGTCTCTTCCTGGCTGTCTGGGTCATTTGCCTGTGCTCTAGCACCTGAAATCATGTAGGGATATATGTGGGCGGCTGTTTACTCCAAGGGGCAGTGCAGACCCACCCTAGAACCGCCTCTCAAGCACACGTCCCTGCCACAGTCTGCTCCGAGGGCTGCTTCGATTGTGTCCCTGTGCTTTTTGACTGAACTCTAGCTGAGGATGTGGGCTGGACTGGCCTCAGGGAGAGAGAAGGCACTTAGTCTGTGCTCCCCTGGGTGTCAACTGCACGCCCTGTCTGCCAGCTGGAAGCCAGCTGGGAGTTGTTTTTCTGATTGTCAGACCCGGTCTCCTTACTTGCACTTAGGGGAAGAGCATCCAAGCCCTGGTACAAAAGGTCCCTCTTTTCATGGCTTTGGAAGAAGCTGTGAATGAGCTCATTATCACTGCAGCCCAAGAAAGGGGGACAGGCGATCCTTTCCTGTCTAGACCTACCCCTGGCCGAACACACTGGACTGAGGTGCAGATGGGGCAGCTTGATTCCAGCCCACAGTAAGCAAAGGCAGGTGCTGAGACAGGTGGTCCATACCAGGGGCTATGCTGAGGCCATTTAGATGCTTTGAGGCTGACTGTCTCTGCTGTGGTCCAGAGGAAGGTCACTGTTGGTGTCTCTTTTCCCCCAATACGTGCAAAACTCCATCTAGCCTCCCAGATGCAAAAGGGTTTCCATCCAGGGCTATGCAACCCCCCACACACACACCTTCCGGGAGCTTCCTGTGTGCAGGTGGTCTGCCTACCCCTACACCTCAGGGCTAGCAGTTATGGCCGCCACTTATCTGCATTGTGCTCACGGTCTGCCAAGAGCAAAGTTGGCGCTGTGTCCTCTCAGGAAACCCAGTTCTAACGAGTGGTGACTGGTGCAGACTACTGGGCTGGAGAGTGAGGCTTCCGAGGCCAGGAAGGGGGTCGCGTCTTTACCTCAGTCCACATTGTTGCTATTTGGAGCCCTGCAGAATGGCTCTCCACACCATCCTAGGTTAGACCCTGCCAGGGCAGCTAGGTGGTGCTGGTCTTGAGCTGGCAATGCTGACCCCAAGTTGACCCCTCTTTTGCTTTCTTCCTTCTGTTTCAGATTGAGAAAATCATGAGCTCGATTGGAGAAGGAATTGACTTTTCTCAGGAACAGCAGAAGCTCTCAGGTACTATACTGGTTCCCACCTTGTAAAAGCACAGGCCTCTCCCTGGCCCTGGCAGCCTCAGCTTCTTCTCTGAACCAAAACAGATGTCTGTAGGAGAAAGGGGCCAGCCTGGGCCACGCCCTGTTCTGGACCTGTATGGAAAAACGGCCCTGCATTCTGGGGGCAAGTGTATGGATTGAATGTGAGGCTGGCTGTTAAGAAAAGGGGTTGTAATGTCGTGGCTGTCAGGTCGCTCATTGCTTTGGACTTCATCAGACTAAGGTGGCCCTGGCACCAGCTGTTCATGACACCATAGCCCCATATGCCTTGTTCACTACACTGGCAGTCTGGGCTGGGTGAGTGTGCTCCCTGCTAGCACTTGTCAGAGTCTCTGGGAGGGGCTCTGTCTCTTTCCTTCCCAGATCTCTCAGTCATCTGCCCGTGTTACCCAGATCCCCACAGAACAGACCAGTCTGTTCATCCAAGCCGATGGGGTAAGGTCCGTCTTGCTTTCCCTTTTTGTGAAATGGACCATCATGCCAGGTTTCTTTCTCAGGAGAGAGGTCCCTAAAGTGCCCAAGAGCCCTCCTTCAGACTCCAGAACTAGGACATCCCTTTCTGACGAGTGTGCCCCTCTCCAGGGTTCTGTGCTGCACCTCCTTTAGCACTGGCCCAGAAGTCTTCCTGGGTCTTCCCAGTCTTAGGCGTCTTTGCCCTGCCAAGAGGCCTGATGGAGGCGGGGCAGGTGCTGTGCACACTTGAGTCTGGGCTCCTGGAGCCGCACTGCCCTGAGTTCAAATCCCGGTTCTAGATACAGACTTCAGGGCAAGTCATTCATTTCATCCCACCTGAGTGCCAGGCTCCTACCAGCACCTCTCAGCCGCTTACCGCATAGTAAACCAATCAGATACTCATGCGCTTAAGTGAATGGAAGCCATGCCTATTTCTATGACACCGATGAACTCTGGGGACAGCGCACTTGCTCCCTGCCTTGGCTTCCTCCGCATTTAGCCTTGTTTCCTGGAGCCTCCTTCCCAGCAGGCCTCAGTTCCTGGGTTCTAACAGAGGGACTGGTCTGGGTTTGGTCCTTGTCATCTTGAATGATGGCTGGAGTTGACAGATGGTTTTTCCAGCCCTGGACCTTTCTCCAGTTGTTTGCACTCTGCCTGGCGGTTGCCCGCACCTCCGGAGTAAACATGTTTGCTAGGGTCAGGTGTTTGTAGGGAATAGGTGTTTATGATGGACAGATAAACCCTCATGTCACTTTCAAGGCTGTGCTTTGGGACTGATCACAGCTGGCACCAAGGGCATTGAGCTTAGCTGTGGCCACTGCTTCCCTGTACCTCATCTAAGGATCAGGAGCCTAAGCCACGCTTGTCCAAGAGGCCGGAATCAGAAGACCACTGCCTCTGGGTCCAGTAAGAGCCTCCTAGGAAGAGCCTTGCGCTTGAAGGCATCTGCACTGAGCTTTTCACCTTCTCTCCCACCCTGGGGAGTGGTGAGAGGGCTTCTCTACCGTTGGGCTGTCCTGACCGCAGCACCTGTTCCTGTATACATGCTTACTTTGCTGAGCCACCTTCTACACCCCAGCTTAGGGACACCCAGGACAGGCGAAGATGTGTTCCATGCTGTGTAGAGAGCCCCAGGGCATGGGGTCTGCACCACTACCTGGACAAGAAGCCTGGAGAGGCTGACTCAGGCCAAAGCAGAGTGCATTTTGAGTGGTCAGGATTGAGTGTATTAGGGTTCAGTTGTCAGCAAGAGTCAAAGAGGAGATACCTGGGCTCTGGCACCAGCAGCTTGGTGTTGTTGGAGGCACAGCCTCCAGCAACAACAGGCCCCAAGCTAGTGATGGCTGGTCAGAGAGGCAGACTCTGCACAGGGCTCCCTCCTGAAGGGCAAGACCCCACAGCATTGGAGTCCAGTTCTGCTTGGATACCCAAGAGCCCGGGACTGTCCACACTGGAGCTAGATACCCAAATTCCCAAAAGACATGTCTTACAACTCCTTCCTGTCTCTGCCAACTACCAGCAGTCCATCACACTAACACTCTGCAGTCTTTGAACAAAGGCCTGCCCTGTAGAGACGATAGCCTGGCTTTTCTTCTGTTTGTACTCCCCATTCACTATTGAGTAACTGCCGAGTGTAGCCTCCAAGGGCCTGGTCCCTCTGGACACAATGCCCATAGTGACCTATTGAGATGCAGGCACCTCCAGCCTATTTCCAGGGTGATGTGTGGTTCCTGTATATCTGTGACCTTTTCCCCCTCCCTGGCTGTCCCTTGCTGAGTGTCCTGCTCTAGGTGTGTGCCTCCTTGCCTGGCCCCTGCGTGCTCATCTAGGGAACATCAGGTGCAGCAGCCTCGCTTTCCCATTTTTTTGCCAAACAGGACAATGTTTCCTAAAGGTTCAGGTTGGGGTCACTTAGCTGTGGGCTGTGTTGCCCCTTGGTCCCCTCTCCTGGCTGTCCTCAAAACTGCCAGCCCAAGTTACAGGCATGATTATTCTGTGCCCGTAAGAGTTTCCTGTCCCCCAAACTTGAGATGAAGCAGCTGTCTCCCCCTGGTGCCTTCATCTGCATCGCAGCGTCGCTCTCAAGAAGCCTGTCCTCTCACTCTGGCTCCCTCGGCAGCAGCGGCTTCTGCTCCAGTGTCCGATCCCTGATGTATTTTCCTGAGCGTAGAAGGGGGAAGGGTGGGAGGGGAGGAAGGGGAGGGCCAGACACGAGAGTGAGCAAGGACTGTGGAGCCGGCAGCCAGCAGTGTGGAGCCCCGGAGCCTGAGACAAAGCCTTCTGCTGCGGCTCTGTAAGCGCACACATCCACCGGCAGCAGCCTGGACCACAGCTGCCCAGCCCTGGGATTACAAGCAGGAATGAATCAGCAGTGGGGGCCATACAAGCTCATGAGCATTCAAGAGCCTGCTGCGTAGGTTCCTGGATCTGACTTTCCATTCAAGGGCAAGTCTAGGAGCCCCCAGACTCGGCATTTTGGAACACTGCTACCGCCTGCATCCAGAGACTACCCTGTCACCACCCACCATCTGTTCTGCGGAGGACAGGAGAGGAGTGGCGGCTGCCACAGTTGGTCGGCAGGGTCCCTAAGACAAGCAAATTGGCGTTGCCCTGCTTTGAAGGGCAGAGACTGCCAGTAACGGCAAAATGACTTTCACCGTGTCGAGAAGAGTCCCTGGGAGGTGATGTTTCTGTAGCTGGTTCTTCTTTCTCCTGCCTTGAAGCTCTCTTTCTCCCCTTCTTTATCTTTCTTTTGCCCGTTCTTGCTGCAAGAACCAAAGAAGTAAGGTGGGATATGTGAATGCGGCCGGCTCAGAACATCCTAGGACTGCCGGGAAGGACTGAACTCTCGTCCTCCCTGCACTGCCACAGTCCTGTGCCGACCATAGAGCACAGTGAATAACTATCCCCTTGCCTGTGCATCTGTAGAGATGGTGAGACCAGAGACCCCAGGAAGAAAGCTGTGTGTGTCTCACGGCCAGAGAGCAGCACAGTGTAAATAGACGAGCTGCCGGCTCCTGACAGACAAGTGCCGCCTCTTCCTTTTATCTGCTTGGGTTTTGTCTTTGACCAAGAACTGAACAGCCCGGCAGCTTTCCCCTAAGCAGGCAGGCGGGTCACGGGAACCGCCACCGAAGAGGGGGAGAATGAACACCACCACATTCCCGGAAGCCAACCCAGACCAGGAAGGCAGCTTCGTGCTCAGCGTCTCAGCCCCGGAGGCACCCAAGTTTGCTGGCCAAACAGCCCGGTAGAAGACCATGCCATTGGCCCAGCAGAGCCACACCTGAGCCTGATTCCCACACTGCCCCCTGACTGTCCTGAACTGGGAGCACAAAGAGCTGGGGCCATGGTTTGCTTATTCCGGGACTGCTGGGGGACAACAAGTAAAAGTCCCTTCTCTCCCCCTGCCATGTTCTGTGCTGCTTGTGTTGCATGTGCTGGGTCCCTGTGAACAGCCGCCACTGCTTCCTTCCCGGAGCCCTCGCTGTGTGCCTGTGCCCTCAGCTGCATGAAGACGCGCGCTCACTCACGCCTGACTGGTTTATGCTGCAAGGTCGCAGAACTAGCCCCTCGCCACAGCCCTGCAGCAGCTCTAGAAGCTGCATGGAGAGGAGCGGCCAGGCTGGTGGGCACTTAGGAGCTGTAGTATCCCCCTCTAATGCTTATGGGGACAGACTTTCTGCCATGCCTCTGTGTGGACACTAATTAGGAGTTGACCCAGAGACCATTGGGAGTTGGCTCCCCCAACCCCTAGGGCAAGATCGTGCATGTGCAGCCTCGGCCCTGGTCCTGGACAGCTCACACCGTGGGGTGTGAGTGGGCAGCAGCCGCCCGAGTTGGCCGGTGTACAGTACCAGGCAGCTCTACCCTGCCTGCACGGAGGAGAGAGCAGAAGCCGCGTGCCTGCTCTCTCTGCTCTCTTGTACATAGTCTGGCTGCTCTATGGTAATGACCATGATGTGGCAGTGCCATCTGTCCTCCTCTGAGTGCCGCTGCTACCGCCTTAATGGGTTTTCCCTTTTCAAGCGTCTGCCGATTCCTCTCTCGTCAGGTTCTCGGACGCTGGAGCAGAGCGTCGGGGAGTGGCTGGAGTCGGTTGGCCTGCAGCAGTACGAGGGCAAGTTGCTGCTGAATGGCTTTGATGATGTCCGCTTCCTGGTAAGTGCTTGCAGGCCACCTCAGTGGCCACGACTGGTGCTGCTTGTTGAACCCTGGCTTCCCTGACTGAACTGAGCCAGCTGGAGTTTGAAAGAGCATGTAATCCCCTACCCCAGGGAGGAGCTAACAGAGGGGGTGTGGGCTAGGAAGTTGGCAGAGTGCCTGATGCCAACTTTGCAGACACTCCTGGCCCTACTATCTCTGTCCCAGATACCATTCGGGTGGAACACTCTCAGAAGGATCCCTAACTCAGACCCGTACCACAGCCCTGCTTCTTAGACTGGATGCTGGGACATCTTGGCTTGCATGTGGAGTCAGTTCTCAACAGCTTTGGTAGACAGGACAGCCAGGTACCCCATGGGGACTCCATGTCCCATCTCAGCTGGATGCCAGGAATTTCTTTATTTTTCAGATCTTTGCTGTTGTCACTGAAGCAAAGGTCCCTGTCTCCAGCCAAGTAAGAAAGGCCAGGGCCACGTGTGCCTGGCCTCAGGCTGACAGGGAAAGGCTGAATGTCAGTTTGGTTGCTTTTCCAAGGTTCAGTCTGCACTCAGAATATAAGGAGTCATTGGAATAACTGGGGCTTCTCCACTCCCTGGGGAGTGGGGACTCAGCTTAGACCCTGGGCTTAGGAGTCAATGGTCCCACTGTTGTCTGTCTCCTAGAAACCTTGCCCAGTGTGTCTGTCCTCGTGGGTCATTCAAGGCAGTGCCTGAGCCAAGGCATGCCCAGGAGCTGTGACATCACAGCAGTCGTGATAGCCAATGTCCTTACAGCGGGCTGTGTGCCGATCTCGGCAGTTCATGTATGTGAGCTCTGTGACTTCCCAGCACCATGGCGTGTGCTGTTGTCGTCACCTGTTCCCTGCATGCAGACAGTGTGATACAGAGGTTCAGTGGTTTGGCCAGGGCCGCACTGCTGGGAACTGGCCAAATGAAAATGCGTGCTTGGGAGTTAGAAGGCGAGAAGTCGCTCTCTGAACAGTGTTGCCCGTTCTCTCATTTTGGGGTGTGGCAGAACTATTTAGAAGCTGCACACCTTGGTAAGTGAGCAAACCACTGCCCTGCTCCTCCCTCCTCTCCTGGTCCCGGGGGCTTCGGACCGTCCCCTGCAGCAGAGCTCGGTCACTGTGCACTTTCTGTCCCTCGTGTGAGGGCCATGTTTGTAGAGCTGGCACAGCCCCAGCTGACCCCCGCCTCAGTGGGGTGGCTGGGTTTACTCTGTCAGCACAGGGTTTGGTGTTTTGGGAGGGGGTCCTGCTTTGGTTTCCAGGGAAGACCCGTGGGAGGCGCCTTAACCAAGCCGTCTCTGTCCCTGTGCAAGTCTGCAGCGAGCCAAGGTTGGACTGCGTTTTCAAACTTTAAAAGCTACAGTTTTAAAATTGTTTTTCCCTTTGTAAAATTTAAGCTGTGTAAGTGTGTTACGATTTCTGGTCTTTTGCTTCTGACTCACCACGCTCTTTTAGGAAGGACCATGAACTAGGAAGGCGGTGGGGTCTGTCAGTGGGAAGGACGACTGGCCCTGGCTGTGGGGTTTTGTGGTCTTTCCTTCTAAGTCCTCCTTTCGCCATGCTGCTGGCAGATCAAACAAGAGTGGCTGAGATCTGCAGACTCCCCAGTGCTCCAGGGGCTGAGCCTGCAGACACAGCTCCTAAATTTGGGAAGGGTTACTTCTCCAGCCCTTGAGCAACCCCAGGGCTACCTGACCCTACCTAGAACCAAACCAGAAAACGCCTAGATGACATTTTTGGGGAAGCATGGCCCTGAACCGCATGGCCATGTAAGGTGCAGAGCCTGTACCAGAAAGACCCTCCACCCTGTAGCTAACAGCCTGGTTCCTCCAGGGCAGAGCTCTTCGTCTGGGGCGTCCACAGGAGGGGCTGCCCAGCAGCGACCTGAGCACACCTGAGGTCAGTATGTTGCTTCAGGTACCTGGATGGGCCTGAGTGGCGAACCCTATCCTGGGTATTGTATGTTAACCGCGAGGTGGACTCGAGGATAAGTTTTAAGCAGGGGCATGTTCCCATTCCAGAAACACTGAGCACATGGTCCTGGTGTGCCCGTCCAGTTTGGGTCACAGTAGGCTGTGAATGTTTCACCTAGTTCTAAGATTCCCTGGAGATGTTTCTACCAGATGCAAGGTAGCTTCAGTAACCCCAGATCCAGATGTGTTGGGAACATCTGGACACATGTTCATAGTCAAGGTGCTACTGTGGAGTTCCATGTCAGGGTGCTCATGAGCAGTATGGAGCTCTGTGCGTGGTAAGGCGTGTTCCAGGCCGATCTGCATTCACCATGCTAGATCATCTCTGCCCTCATGTTTTCGGCGAGAGGACCCAGTGCTCTGGCCGCTTTAACGCTCGCACTTACACTGAGTCCTCATGCCTCTGTCTGTCGCTCCCAGGCTCAGTTTTGGGACCACACAGAAGACTTATGTCCTCTAGACAATTGAAAGCTTCATGGTGGCTTTACAGTTTCTATGAGGTCTGGGCTCGTGCTCTTAATCCTGACTGTTCCCTTGATGATTATGAATTTGGGCCAGCACTTTATAGCTTGAACCTCTTCCACACCCTCTTGCCTGCAGGCAGAAAGGGTCAAGCCAAGGCCATGAGAGCTACCCTGAGCTTTTGTGCTGATGGAGACTGATGAGGGGCTCAATGCTAGGACCAGGAAACCAGGCAAGGGAGTGTGGCTGCCCTGCCAGCCAGCAGCCACCACACTGCCGCATGGCCCATTCATCTTCACCACAGACCATGTCCACAGGAAATGGGCTTTCCCGGGAGTAAGGAGCAAACGCATTCAGTCAGTTCAGAAGGAGGGCATCGATGGCTGGCACACCTGTGCCTTCAAGCTTGCTGAGCCGCAGTGAAAGCCTCGTGGGAGTGCTGATGGCACAAATGATGGTGGCTCCGAAGCCAGAGGGTTGTGATGGGTGTGAAAAGACGTAGAATCAAAGAATATCTGATAGAGGGAGCGCACAGAGGGATGCATGACCCACAGTGCATGGGCGGTGTAAGGACGGCCAAGATACACCTGTGCTGATCTCTGGGAGATTCATCCTTTGGGGGGAATAATGGGTTTTCTCTGTCTTTTGCTGTGAATGGGGTGAAGTTGGAACAGCAGATCCTGCTGTAGATGTCAAGTTCAGAAAGCAGTAGCATGTTGGAGCAGCCTCGTGCTAAGACCTGAGTGAAGGCTCTAGATGCTGTAGAACAGCCACGTTCTGCTGCAGACAGGACCACAGGCGGGACAGTGGAGGGCCAGGGCGCTGAGGCTGCAGCAGAGAGTAGCTCCAGACTTGGCCCTGTGCTTACCAAGTCTGAAGGGGAAAGCCGGTGATGGGCCAGAGACTGCTGGCAGTAAAACAGGAAGCTGGCTTGAGAGCAGGGCCTGATGAGGCAGGAGGGTGAGCTGTACCTGACCCTGAAGTCCTGAAAGCCATGTGAGGTGCCTTGATGTCTCTGAACGCTGTGTTGAAGGGCCTTTGTCTTCTGGCTCCAGAAGGCGGTTTAAAGTGTCAGGACAGTCAGTGTGGAGTGTTGGGGGGCGGGGGGGAGAATGTGGCTCCAAGTTGGTTAGAAGCAGACAGGATGGGAAAGAAGTTGTTTCTTATGCTGCACCTGAGAGGCCTCCAGCTGCCCTCACTGCTTTCTTTCTCCACAGGATTTCTGCTGAGGGCTGATAGGCTCCCACGGGGTTCCTGTCTGTTCTGAGGTTATTGGTCTTGACTCCTGGCACCGCTTGACCAGAAGCCCCTTCTCTGTCAGCTCCAGTCCCCAGGCTCTAGGGTGCCCCGTCCTGTTCCACAGACTGTTCCCTTCAAGCCACTCTGCTTGACTCACGGGTCTCCTGCCCTGGCTCCTGTGCTCCCTATGGCCACTTCCTCCTTCTGTGCCCCCCCCCCTTACCTTTGTTGCTAGTCTGAGAACCACAGCCAACTGGAGCAGAGCTGCCCAGATGCTGCACAGCATCCAGCTTCTCGCCCTCCCCACTCCCCGAGTTTCTGCTTGTCTCTGCACAGCACTTTGTGAGCCAACTGCTGGGCTACGATTTTCTCTGTCCCATTGACATGGAGCCCAAAGTAGGAGGTTGGTGGAGATGAGGCGTAGACAGGCAAGTTCTCAGAAAAGCCTGTGTCCTTTCTGGGCTACATCAGCCTTGCCATGTGAGAGCTAAACTCCTCAGGTGCCCCAGGCACTGATGGTCTCTTGATCCAAATTCCACCCACTCACCCTCCAAAAGGCTGATAAGGGAATTGAGGAAAATCTGTCTTCTCTGTGCTCTGCAGCCTGACCTGTGGTGGCACATGCTCATGACACCTGCATAGGAAGGCCAGGTTGTGGTCACCATGTAGTAGCTAGGGAAAGTCCAGGAGAAAACTCACAGCTCTGCTTGGTTCAACAAGCCTAAGTGAAGACAGTGTATTCTCTAGACCCTTTCCAGCGGCTCTGGACAGGCTCTCCTCCTCCCTGTTCATCCTACCTGTGAGGTGCTGTGTACTAGTGTCCTTCATGGTCCCATGCATTCGCATAAGCTCCAAAGGGAGTGTGCCATTATTACCCTAACTGGCAAGTGGTTGTTACTGCGTGGAGGCTGAGGGTCCATAGGGTGGCACATGCCCTCCTCTGGAGCAGAGCTGGCAGCAATGGCATCTGCAGAGATTGAGCTGCTTTTGCCTACCAGTGCCTGTGCCTGCAGACACACGAGACTGAAACCAATCAACTCTCTGCTGACTCTGGCTCAACAAACCAACCCTGCAGAAGTGGGGACAAAACCAGCACCTCTGCCTCTCACAGACCAAAAGGACAGAGACAACAAGAACCTGCCTGGATAAACCCCAGCACCTCCACAGTTCTTTCCACAAGGAGACAGCAAGATGGTGTGCACTATGCAAAGGTGTCTAAAGCCAGGCAGTGGTGGTGCACACTTTTAATCCCATCACTCGAAAAGCAGAAACAGGTGATTACTGTGAGTTCCAGCTCAGTCTGGTCTACGTATGGAGTTCAGGCCAACCCCAGAAACACAGTGAGATCTGTTTCAAAAACAGAATGGAAGACAACAAAAAATTAACTCACTGGGAAAAATATACCATCTTGAGGCAAAAAACAAAGGAAAAGAAAAATGATGGTGTCCCCTACCTAGGGGACAGATAGACAAATGGCCTTCACAATTGCTTTGTGCTTCCTTCACTTTTGAAATGTTCTGTAATAAACCTGTGTGAGTTTCCACTGAGGAAAACATTTTCCTGATGTGGAGAAGGCAGGACTCAGTGAACACAAACCAGAGACAGGTGGTAGAGGAGGGTGCTCCCTGATCTGCTCTTTCTGTTAGCACTCTCTAGTGAGCAACATACTCAGTCCTGGGAACAAACAGCCACGGATGGGCTGAGTGCCGCGCAGCCTCTTAACCCCTCCCATTGAGTAACCTGCTCTGGGGTCTCCTTTGCACTCTGCACCTGATCCTGGCCCGAAGACCGGAAAGCAGTTCAGCTGTCACTTGTCCAGGTTGGAGCTCCTTCCCTTCTGTCCGTCTCCTATCTGGAATGTTCCTTCACAGATGTTGCTCCTTATATCCACAGAAGGGAGGAAGATCAGGGAGGTCACACTCTAGTCTGGGACCTGATTGCTGGGGTGCTGCCTATGTGGCATCTGGCAGAGCCCAGGATTGTGCCTCTTACCATGTTCCTCCTTTGGATTCAAGGAAGTGGTCGAAGCCAGCCTTTCCTGCCTGCTGTGTGCACCTGGGGAGCTCCCTGCCCTCAGCTGGGCTTCCCTGGAGCCCTAAACCTGGGAAGCTCCGGTCTTTCTAATTGAGGTCTACACTCCCCAATGTACTTACCCCTGCAATCCCTTGCCATCTGCCTCTCCCCAGGCCTCTCAGCCTGGCCATCAGGAACAGGCTCACAATCAAGAACTAGTTCACCTGGGCAAGTGGCCTGGCTGCCTTGGTCTCTGAAATGTGTCTTTTACTCCACTGTGAAGGCACGTATGGCTACGTGGCTCCTCACTAGGGTCAGCTGATGTCGGGAGCACGGACAGACCGTGACTGGCACTGTTTTCAGTGACAGCCCCATTCTTGGTGTAAGACCTGGTTCCTCTGCCCTGCTGTCCATCCGTCCAGCCCTTGCCCACTGTTGCAGGGCCTTCTGCGCCCTCTCTCTCCCCAGGATTTACTGGACCACCCTTTGTTACCCTGTATTGTTTAGGAAATAAAGAGAAGAAAATGAGTGTCCAGCAGACAGAATATGCAGTCAATCCTCTCTAACAGTGGGTTCAGCCGTTGGTCAAGAGTGTTTGACCAATGCAGACACAGAACAATGCAGTAACAACTTGGCATTGCACTGTGCTGAGCTTTGTAAGTACTCTAGAGATATGAACTGTAGGGAAGAAGGTGCAAGCTGAGTCAGGAGAGGGCCTGTCGGGGCAGCAAGAGCCACCAATGCATGCACACACCCTCCCCTTCCCATGGCATCTGACGCTGGGCCTCCTGCAAGCTCACACTGTCAAGGTCCCAGGGAGAGGAAGGAACACAGAAGGAACTGCTCTGGGAGCCATATTTCCCATCGTACCCTTCCTTCATTTGTTCCCCTCGTCTTCCTCAGAGCTTACAGCTCCTGACCCTGGACTAGGGTTTGACTCACATAGAACCGGCCTGGCGGTAGAGCTAGCAGGAGCGTGATGGAAGTGGCTCTTGGGCCACGCTTCTAGAAGTTCGTGTTGGTTTACCTCAAGTTCTTGCTTAGGTGTCAACAGAGGGACAGTCTGGGTATGTGGCCTTACCTGGCAACAGACTTTTGATTCAGTCCTAAGCAGCTGCAGGGGGTGCATTCTGCAGCCCCGAAGCAGCAAAGCCGAGTACAGAGCTCTCAAGCTGGTGGTGTCCTCTGCAGGATCTTTGTCCCACACACAGGTGCCGAGGAGGTGGAGGTGGGGCCGCCAGGCCGTGGTCTGCATGCACTGCCCCAAGCCACTCAACACATCCAAGTGCAGAGTGGGAGTGGATACCAGCCTTTCTAGAAAGAGGCCCAGAAACAGCCATTCTAGACCCACAGGACGCAATTCCAGTTCTAGATAAAGCTCGCTAAAGAAACAGACCGCCTCTGCCCGGAAGGGAAGAAAACTGGCTCAAGGACATCATTCTATACAAAAGAAAATGCCAGTGCTTAAAGAGTAACCCTAGAAGGGATTCCCAAGCCCGACCTTCACTATGTGCCACGGGAGCCGAGCCCTCTCAGGTGTGGAAAAGAAGGGCTTGACAGAAAGCCCGTAGGGACGCTGAAAGAAGCAGAGCAGCTGCAGAAACAGCGGGGTGATGTTTGGACATGGGGTGACCTAGAAGCTGGCCCCAGACTCTGCGTGGCAGAAAGGAGGTGTGTCCTGTAGCCAAGGAGAGGTAGCTGAACTAGCCTGCTCAGAGAGGAGGTCTGCTTCCTCCCTGGAGGCAGACACAAAGCCATGCAGGAACAGAGAGCGCCTGTAACCCAGAAGGCCTGTGTGCAGAGCAGGAAGACCATGAAGCCGGAACCCTGATGAATGCCTGAACAAAATGAGAAGACATCAGCCTCGCTGGGACACCTAGTGCTCATTTCCCTGAGAATGGGCAACCCAGCGCTGATGAGACACATCTGCCAATACCTTAAATGTACACACCCTGTAAGCAAGAGGTTCCTGTCTGCAGCTCTGGCCTAGCATAGCTCAGTGCCTTGGGATTCTAGTGGTGCCATTTGTGAATGACCTGGAACCAGGCATTCTTCCTCCAGCACTGGGAGTGGGCATGCCCTCACCCAGGGACTCCACTGGCTTCAGAGAAAGACAGCCTGCGTAAGTGGCCTGGCCTGGGTAATCGGAAGAACTAAGGAGAGGTGTCATTGTGCGATGGTGCCACATACCTTTAATCCCAGCACTCAGGACACAGAGGCAGGTGGATGTCTGAGTTCAAGGCCAGCCTGGTCTACATAGTAAGTTCCAGGACAGCCAGGACTGTTACATAGAGAAACCTTGTCCTGGAAAAAGAAGTAAAGGTGACAACAGCCGTGCACCCGGGGTGACGAGGGTCAGTGAGCAGAGTGCTCGCCTATCATACACAAGGCTCTGACCTCAGTCTCCAGCACCATGAAATCCTGGCATGGGGCTGCGCACCTGTAACCCCTTCACAGGGAAATAGAAGATCAAAGAGCTGAGCTCACGAGGAGCTGTGACTACATAGATTTTCTACTCTCACAACTGGATGTGGTGGCGCACGCCTTTAATCCCAGCACTCGGGAGCAGAGACAGGGGTGTCTATTAGTTGCAGGCCAGAACTACACAGTGAGAGAAACCTATCTCAAAAAAACAATACAAGCCAAGTGGTTATGGTGCACGGCTTTAGTTCCAGCACTCAGGAGGCAGAGGCAGGCGGATCTACAGAGTGAGTTCCAGGACAGGCTCCAAAGCTACACAGAAACCCTGTCTCAACACCCCCCCCCAAAAAAAACTAAAAAAAACTTGTGTCTATTACAATGGGACAGTCTCGTGAGCTACAGGTGTGGGGTCTCACTGCTTGGGTTCAGATCTAAGCTCTGCCGCTAGATATAGAAGTTCTGGAAAATTCTGATTGCCAGGTGTCTCCATTTCCTCACCTTGCCAAGATTACTAGAGAGGCTGGCATCATTGTGGTGGTGAGGTCGGGTAACCCATGTAAAAGCAGCACCTAGGATGCAGGCCTGTGGCCTGCCAGCTGTCCCCTACTTCCCTGTCAGACTCAGTGCCACGCCACACTGTCTCTGCAGCTTCCCCACCCCACCCCACCCGTCTGTTCTGAAGTGGAGGTCAGTGGGAATGCGGAGTGAAGCTTAGCTTGGACCCGCCCCTACAGCAGGGAGCTCAGTTCTCTTGAGCAGCTGTCAGCCTGCCTTTGTACCCTCAGCTTTGACTGACAGATGTATGTCTGATGCCGGGGGTTGTGAGTGCAGTCTGGCCTGGCCTAAGCTCCAGGCACTTGGGGAATGGACAGTCTGAGCAGGTTTGCCTTCAGCTTATGCTGGCCGCTGTCTGGTGACCGTCCTGCCTTCACTTAGTAGCTGTGACAGAAAAATCTGGCATGGGGTCATGGCAGGCTGACTTAACAGACACCAGGCTTCAGTGTAGGAAGGACCTAACTTCTTCTCTGTCTCAGGGCTCGAATGTGATGGAAGAGCAAGACCTGAGGGAGATTGGCATCAGTGACCCACAGCACCGGCGGAAGCTGCTGCAGGCTGCACGCTCACTGCCTAAGGTGACCGCTCCTGGGCCAGGGCTGTCTTCTTGAATGCCTAGACCAGTGGTTCTCAACATGTGGGTCATGACCCCTTCACAGGGGTCACATTACCAGATATTCTGTGTATCAGATATTTACAGTTCACAACAGCAGCAAAATTACAGCTATGAATTAGCAACAAAGTAACTTTATGGTTGGGGTTAACACAACACGAGGAACTGTATTAAAGGATCACAACATTAGGAAAGTTGAGAACCGCTGACCTAGATTGAGTGGAAAGGAGCCTGGCTCTAAGGCATGCAGGTCTTGTCCCATGTCTGCCCTCGTAAGAGCCCAGCAGGGCAGAGGGTCTTGGTTCCTTCCCTGTAAAGCCCCACAGGGCCTCAGAGGTAATAAGCATCTTGTCTTATTGGCCAAGGAAGATCTAGGGTCCTCTTGGCACAGAACCTAGTCCCATAGTCTTGGCCTGTCACTGGTGCCACCTTTGGAGTCTCTTTTGACTCATCAGAGCCCAGGCTAGCCTATCTTGACCCCAGAGAGGCCCTAGAGGAGCAGGCATGAGAGGCAGCGGCAGCACTGACTTCTCTGCGGCTACAGCCTCCATCCCTTGACGGTTAGTGCCGTGGCCAGTGTCCCATTGATCTTTTCACTAACCCAGAGTTCAGGAAGTAACTGCTTCATTGGCACACATTCTGTTCTTGCCATTACAAGCCTGTGACCTCCCAGAGCTCAGGGAGAAGCAGTCTGTCACCCCTTCCCTCCATCTTGCCTCACCTACTGGCCCCTCGTCCTTATATCAAGCAGCTGCTACCTCTCAGAGTGGTGAGGGCTGTGCCTCGGGGTAGCCCTCGGTCCCCAGGTGCTCTGAGACTCAGGGATGCCATTCTGCTTCCTCACACCACAGGTGAAGGCTCTTGGCTATGATGGGGTCAGCCCCCCCTCGGTGCCCTCCTGGTTGGACTCACTGGGGCTGCAGGACTACATCCATTCCTTCCTGTCCAGCGGCTACAGCTCCATCGACACTGTGAAGAACCTCTGGGAGCTGGAGCTTGTCAACGTGAGTGCAGCGTGGGAGGCTAGGGCAGGAGGGGGCTGAGGAGCCCCGCTCCACTCACCACCCCTCTGCTCCGACACCAGGTCCTGAAGGTTCACCTGCTGGGCCACCGTAAACGCATCATCGCCTCGCTTGCGGAAAGGCCCTATGAGGAGCCACCCCAGAAGCCCCCGAGGTTTTCCCAGCTAAGAGTGAGTTCAAAGAGGGAGACGGTCTCTGACTCTGTGTTTTTGTCCTGGTTTCAACATGACTCAGAATAGCGGACAGCTACTCTGCTGCCCTCTCCTGCTGGACCCGCACACAGGAAAGTGACACCTGTCTGTATCCCAAGGTGCGAGATGGCCGCCAGCGAAGAACCACTTTAGCTATAGCAAAGAGCTCACGTAGGCGGTTCCAGGCTGGGGCCTCACCTAGTGCTAATAAATGTGAGCCCATGGCTTCTGCAGGATGGGGTTGGTGAGGCTACTTGGCCTCTGGGGGATTTGCTCCTTCCTGGGCCCAGGCAAGGCCTAGTCGCCTCTGTCCACTGCTCTTGGCCACTTGTGCCCCTCCTTGCTCTCCACCTCTCAGCTCTGTACTCCCCCTAGGTAGCCTCAGAACAGCCGACACGTTCAGCTGGGAATTTCACCAGTTTCTTGCCCAACAGTGCCAGGACTTAATCTCCCAGACGTCGTCCCCGCTGAGCCAGAATGATTCCTGCACAGGGCGGTCAGCAGAACTGCTGCTGCCCTCGGCAGACACCAGCAGGAGGCGCCACGACAGCCCATACGACCCTGGGGCAGCCTCTCGAGTCGAGCGCTTCAGAGTCCAGGTGAGCGGAAGGGTCAGAACCTGCAGGGGTCAGCATCAGGAGGCAGCACTGCGGCCTACTTCACCCCTACCCAGGGCCTCCCATCTTCAGATCTGGGGCTCGCCTGTGGCATGGTCGTCCTGTCTAGCCCTGCAGGCCCTTGCTCATCCCCATGGCTAATCCCACCCTCTCACCCATCTTGGCCCCCAGAACTTCTCTGTAGCTGAAAGCTCCTTGTCCTCCTGTCCCACCAACCCTGCAGAACCACAACCCAGTTCCCCGTGTGCTCCACCGCCGCTGTCCTTAGACTCTGAGCACAGCTAGACATTTGCTGCTCCCTGTGCTTCACCAGGGCAGGGCTGCTGCAGTCTCGCATTCTGGGCTCAGCCTTTGGAGCCCACACCCTCACACATTCTTCCAGTGCTTGCCTGTCTGTCCTCCTGCCTCTGGCTCTGCCCCTTGCTGCAAGTAGCCTTCTGGACCCCAACTTGGCAGGTGTCCCTTCCCCTCTGGGAGAGCTGACATCTCACTCCCACAGGTGACACCCTGCACACACTCCACGTCACTAGGCGTCTCCCTGTTCTCTCCGCATTCCCTCTTCTTTCTGCAGCTGTTTATTTACAGACTTGAACACTGCCCAGTTGTTCAGTTCTCTGTGGAGCCTGCACATAATGGTAGCAGAAGTCTGAGATCTTTTCTGAACCTGTATCTCCATCCCCTGCATAGACTCCATCCCCTGAACTACGGTGGCTCCTCTCACCCCAGTTGTTAGCAGAGGGTCCATTTAAATCGCATCCTTTGCCCAGGACCTGAGGAATCTAAGGACTCAGCTCCATGGCCTCAGCCTTTGTTCTTTGTGCAAAACGTGCCTGCGGCTTGTGTTTCCATACATCCTGCTATGTGCATGCTCCTGTCTCGGGTGCCGGAGCTCTTCCTGGCTGCACTTGCCCTGAGAGCACCTCCCTTGGCCCCAGTGCCCTCTGCACCTGACTCCTGCCCTTGCTGGGGTCACCAGTTTCCCCACACTTGGGTATGATAGAGTCGGAAAGTGAATTTGTGAGCTCCCCTGGAACAGGTGAGCTGTGTCCAACTGTGTGTGTTTTTACAGGAGGAGCCCAGTGAGACCAAGCTGACCCTCCGTCCGCCCAGCCTGGCCGCCCCCTATGCTCCGGTGCAGAGCTGGCAGCACCAGCCAGAAAAACTCATCTTTGAATCCTGTGGTTATGAGGCTAATGTGAGTCGCTCACTCTCTCCCAGATGGCCACCCACCCTTCCCTCTGGGGCAGCTGTTCACAAGGCTGAACCCAGGACCACAGGCCAGCCTCTGCTGTGCTAAGGGGAGGGAACTCTGATGGGACAGGAGAGGACTGTGTTGGGAAAGGTAACCCTCTAACAGCAGGATGGCCCACATTGGCTAGGTCATCCTACACGACAGCACACTTGTTCCTAAACCCACCTTCTGCCCCTTCCCACAGTATCTGGGCTCCATGCTGATTAAAGATCTGCGAGGGACAGAATCCACACAAGATGCCTGTGCCAAAATGCGGGTAAGGGACTGGAGAGACAGCTCAGCAGTTAAGAGCACCGGTGCCCTTGCCAAGGACCCTGGTTCAATTCCCAGCACCCACATGGCGGCTCACAACTACCTGTAACTCCAGTTCCATGAGAATCCGATGCCCTCTTCTTGCTGACATATACACAGCATGAAAATAGAAAGGGAAACCGCGGGGAGGTGGCTGACCAGAACAGCAAGTGGGAATGCCAGTTACCAACCCTGGGCCGACTGCACCACGGAGGGGTGGACCTTACCATCAGATCACTCTCAGCCTGCCCCATATTTCTTACAGAAATCTACAGAGCACATGAAGAAAGTCCCGACCATCATCCTGTCCATCACATACAAAGGGGTCAAGTTCATCGATGCATCCAACAAGGTATGGTTCTTGTGAGGCCTGCCGGCAGGTGTCCCATAACCAGATGCCTGAGAGAAAACCACCTGAGTTTCAGAAGGGCTGGTCTGTGGTCACCTGCCTCAGTGTTTCGGGCAGTACACACGGGGTTGGGGCACATGTGGTAGAGGCTATTCACTTCATGGAGCTCAAGGGGACAGACAGGAAAGGGCAGGGACAAGGCTCTGGCACCTCCTATAATAGCACTACCAGCCAAGGCCGGCCATCAGTACATGATCCTTCCAGGGACACCTCATTTCCTAACTATGTCTTCTGCCGCTGGTCCCATTGGCTCCTGACCATCTAGTAATCTATAGTCCTGGCACTCTGCAGACCAGGCTGGCTTTGAGTGCACAGAGATCTGTCTGCCTCTGCCTCACGAGTGCAGGATTAAAAGCATGTGCTGCCATGCCCAGCTCAGACTATTAACTGTGAGCTCCAATAAAAGTCAGAAACCAGGCTGGAGAGATGCTAAGTGGGTAAGAGCGCTGGCTGCTCTGCCGTAGGACCCAGGTTCAATTTTTAGCATCCACATGGTGGCTCATAACCGTTTGTAATTCCACTTCCAGGAAGATGGAATTTCCCTGGCCTCAGCAGGCACCAGGCCCATGTGGCTCACAGGCACACACAGGCAAAACTCCCTACGCATGTTTACTTCCTGAATAGTAGAAGTTAGGAGACAAATCTCATGCTCCCAACTAACCAAATGACACAGAATAAAAACTTCACTCTAAGGAAAACATGAATAGCAGAGAAAGATCAGACCAAAGCAAACCAGGGCCCAGCAAGGTCAGTGGTACCCATAGTTCCATGGCTGGCATCTGGGCATGTGGTGTGTTACTCTGAGGGCTAGGGGGGGTCGGAAGCCTGCTGTTTCAGCTCTTGCCTCTGGTCACTGTGCCCAGCTTTTCTTGGGAAATATCCATATTCCTGGTGCCTTCAGTCTCCATTGCTGTTACCGTCACAGCTTCTTGCCTGGCCCCACCTGGCCCTTGGGTCTTCCTTTAAAATTGGAGAGCAGGCCTCCATGACCCTGTAACCTTTCTCACTCTTCATGACAGCAAAACTAGTATCTCATAGGTGATGCCAGGGTCTGCTGTCACTAAAGTAGCTGGGCCCTTAGGCCACGGCTGTGGCTTGTAGGCAAAGTTTCTGTCCTGCCAGCAGCTCCCAAATAAACACACAGGGGTTTAATATGAATGCTGGGCCAATAGCTCAGCTCAGGCTCGTTACTAGCTAAGCCTTACATTTAAATTAACTCATAGTTCTTATCTGTGCTTTGCCATGTGGCTTGGTGCCGTTTCTCAGTACAACATGCCCGTCTTGCTTCTGTGTCTGCCGCCCTTCCTCTCCCTAGTCTGGCTCTCTTGCCTAACTTTATCCTGTTCAGCTGTTGGCCAGTCAGCGTCTTTGTTAAACCAGCCAGTGACACATATTCACAGTGAAGGAGTGTTCCACAGTGGTAGAACACGGTCAGATGGCTCCAGGAAAACACCTCCTAGGCGGTCCCGCACAGCTGCCCTTCACAAGTTCACGCTTCCATCCTATTGGGTTTGTCGTGGGTAGGGTCTGCCCAGTGCCCAGACTGCCTCCAAAGTCACTTTCCTGTTATTCTAATGCAGAGCCTTCGGCTCCTTTTTAATGCTACTCCTGTCTTCAGAAACCATTTTGTCCTGGGCAGCTTCATTACAGCTTTCTGCTTTGGTTATTGTTTCCAGTTCTCCCTGTAAGCCTGGCTCAAACACCATAGCTGTAGCCCCTTCTAATGCACCTGCTCCACCTCAGCCTCTCAGTCCAGGGGCAGGGACAGGGAGTGGCCTTTTCTATCCCGCATTTCCAGACTCCTCCACATGCATACCTTTGCACGGGTGCGGAACCATGTTGTCAGGTTAGGCACTGCCTAGCTCCACTTCCATGTCACGTTACCTGTTCATGCCGTGACCAAGCAGCCCAGAACTAATTCAGAGCACAAAGGGCTTGTCTGGCTTACGGTTTCAGAACAGCAAGCTTGCTCTGTTGTGGTGGACAGGAACCAGTGAGGAGGGCCTTGGCCCATATAACCTTCCAAAAGCATGTTCGCGATAACCTGTTTCCTGTGCCCCGCCTCTTAAAGTCTCCAGCATCTTCTAGAATATTGCCAAAGCTGGAGAAAAGTGTCCAGTACATGAGTCTTTGAAGCACTTCCTGTCCAAAGGGTAGCAGTGGGCAGAGCCACCTGGTTGTCAGGTCCCTGGCCTGGCCTCAGCGGTTCCCTCCGTGCTCTGCTGCCCTCGTGTGGGGGGACAGGTGGAGCATGCGTTTGCCTGGGAACACTTTGCTGCCTGTTGGCCAGGGCCAGGGGTGAGGAAAGAGAGGGGTTTGTCTGGAGTTCCAGGCTGCTAAAAGGCTAGGGTAGTAATCCTAGAGGCATGCCCTGAGAGGACCGTGAGTTCCAGAACACATTTTTCCTGGCAGAATGTCATTGCTGAGCATGAGATCCGGAACATTTCTTGCGCTGCGCAGGACCCGGAGGACCTATGTACCTTTGCCTACATCACCAAGGACCTGCAGACGAGCCACCACTACTGCCATGTTTTCAGCACAGTGGATGTGGTGAGTGTCCCCGTGACAACAGTAGGCTCTGCCTTGAGAAGGCAAAGATGACCAAGGCCACGGAGGAGCCCGCCACCCTGTGACTAGATGGGGATCTGTGCTGGCCTAGCCCTAACAGGCAGGACTAGCCTGCGAATGAAGCCAGTGGTGCCCAGTGCAGCCCTTTTCACAGCAGGAGTGGCAGCCCAGAGGGAAGCACCCTAAGCGTGGCTATTGGTGGCACCTTGGTTTTTTAGCTACGTATTTCCTAGGTGGGACAGGTCCCCAAGCTGCTGATAGTGCTACACCCTGGCCTTGGCTCTCCTTGCTCCTGCTCACCCAGCAGGAAGTCTCCTGTGTCTAGCTCTCTGGGGCTTCCTCCACACAGACGCTCAGGAAGTCTTTGCAGCCCCAGACTGTGGTGTCAGATGCCCAGCTTTGCCCCTAGTAGCTGGATGATGTAAAAACATTACGTCTACTCCCTCTGGGCTGTACTGAAGATTACATGGTGTAAGCTAGCAGCTCCTCACCTGTGGCTCGCAGAGGCACACCTGCTCCTAACTCGCTGTGCTGCATAACCACAGGCCAGTGGACCACGGGGCTTCTAGGCACATGGGTTTGAGGGCACACTCTACCGATCACTGATGCTCCCTCCACCTTGGGAAGCCAGCCAGAGAAGACTCAGGAGAGAGCACAGTCCCCAGGACGCCAGGGATGGGCTACAGGTGTCTCTTCTTGTGATATGAGCAGCCCAGCTGTGCTTTGGTTTTTTAAAGATCTTTGTGTACGAGGGCTCTATCTGCATGTATTCCTTTAGGCTAGAAGAGGGCATCAGATCTCACTACAGATGGCTGTGAGCCACCATGTGGGTGCTGGGAACTGAACCCAGGTCCTCTGTCAGTGCTCTGAACCTCTGAGCTGGCTCTCCAGTCCCAGCTTAGCTGGTTTTGAAGTTTAGTGTTTGAAAGAATCGTGCCTAAGGAAGCTAAGTGTGCTGGAATTCCTCACTGTGAAATAAGTCTGTTGGGTTTGTTTTTTTTTTATAATTATTTTGTTTTGTTGTTTTTGGTTTTTTGAGTCAGGGTTTCTCTGTGTAACCCATGGCTGTCCTGAAACTTGCTCTGTAGACCAGGCTAGCCTTGAACTCAGAGATCTGCCTGCCTCTGCCTCTTGGGATTAAAGTCCCTGGCTCTGGGTGCTATTATTAAAGGTGTGTGCCACCACTGCTGGGCTTAACTTTGTATTTTCAAAAAGAAGTTTCCTGCTCCCTGTAGGAGTACAGGGTCCGCAGGAATCTGCAGTGCTCAGCAGCCTCTCTGTTTCTTCCCAGAACCTCACCTACGAGATCATCCTGACCCTGGGGCAGGCGTTTGAGGTGGCCTATCAGCTGGCCCTTCAGGCCCAGAAATCCAGGGCGATGGGGGCCTCTGCAGCTGCAATGATTGAAACAAAATCTTCCAAACCGGTGCCTAAGCCTCGGGTCGGCGTGAGGAAGTCTGCAGTACGTGCCCATCCCCCATCCACAAGGCACCCCAGGGCTTGGGTGGAGCTGGGCATCAAATGTCTTCTCAGTCCTTGGCAGTTGCCCCAGGAAAGCAGCCCTCTTCCTTTAGCTCCCCTCCCCTGCAGCCCTGGGTTCCTTGGGCAGGAGAGGGCAGCCGTCTTCCACTGTCATGCCCGACCGGGCAAGTCGTCCTGGGGCTGCCGTGTGTGGCTACAACACCAGTGACATCCCCGTCTGTCTGCTTTGCTCTGCGCCTCAGGTGCCGATGCCCCCTGATACTCGCTGTTGTCACTGTCACACCTGCACCACCCACCGTCCTTCCTACCTACCGCTGCCGTCTCTTAGTCCTGGAGCCAAGGTCTTTCTGCCTCCCGCTGTCTTGTGTGTCAGGCTCTCTGAAGCGTCCGTGAGCTGTCTCATATCCTGGTGGCCTCATGCTCTGCCTGTGTGACACTCTTTTCCTTTCTGGAGATGCCCTCGCTGTGTGCTCTGCCCTTTGTCTTTGTCGTGTGTCCTCTGAAAGGTCTAGAATGCGTGCAGTGGTCGGCCTCAGGCTGAGCTCTTCTGCCCACTAGAGGGACCCAGGGGCTGGGGGCTTCTGAGCATTCGTCCCCTTCCTGCCCACCATGACCAGACTGCAGCTTAGAGTGTGAACTCTAGCGGGGCAGGGTTCCTCTGTGTAGCCCCCGAGGAACTGTTTCAAGCTCCTGGAGGTGCCCGTCCTTCACCTTCAGGGCGGGCAGGTGTGCTGGGCCCTGTGCAGAGGCTGCATTCAGTCTTAACCCTGTCTCCTTGTTTGGCAGCTGGAACCGCCTGACTCGGACCAGGAGGCCCCATCCCATGCTAGTGTTTCCTGGATTGTGGACCCAAAGCCAGACTCTAAGCGGAGCCTCAGCACCAAGTATGAGACCACTATCTTCTAAACAGCCACCCTGTCTCCACTACCCCACTGTGCCTTTGCCACCCGATGGCTCTGCTGTCTCAGCTCTCCTTCCAGCTGCATGAGACCTGCCCTCCTGCAGAGCTCTAGACACCTCCTCCCTCAGAGCTCCTGCTTACCACCACCCACACTGTGAACCTCCCTGTGGGCCGAGGACAGCTAGGGCAGCTTTCGTTCGAGGGCCCCAAAGCCTCTGCAATAGGTCCTGGGAGGTGAGGAGTGGGGGTAACTTCCACGGGGACCCCAGTAGCCTCCCCAGGATTGCTCTCCTCTCCTGTCCTATCCTGGGTCACAGCTGGATGCCAAAAGCTACCAGTTTTCCACCTTTCCTGACCCACCTACCACTGTGACCACCCAGTGCCAGGGGCCCTGCACACAGCACTCTCAGGTGCTGCTGTGACCCACCCACCACTGTGATCACCCAGTGCCAGGGGCCCTGCACACAGCACTCTCAGGTGCTGCTGTGACCCACCCACCACTGTGATCACCCAGTGCCAGGGGCCCTGCACACAGCTGCTTTCTCACCTGGTCAGGCCCCGTGATATGGCTTCACCAGGGACAGACTTTCTGTAAGGGCCAAGGCTGGTACTGGCCACACCCTCAAGCACGTCCAAACAGTGGGTTCTTGACGGACCTGCGTGTGCTTGGCCCCTTTCTGTGCTGTCGGCCTGGTTCTGGAGTCCAGCTCACCGAGGTGTGCCCTGCACACAAGTGCACCTTCTTCCTTCTCAGAGTGGAGCTGCCTGCACACAGGGCGGAGACTGAGCAGCTTCTCTGGTGTCTGGCAGCCTTCTCACACTCCCTATGGTGGTGGGGACCTGAGACAGCCGTCATCCAGCCATCCCCAGCTAGCATCATGCAGCTCATCTTGGAGACAGCCCCACATGTCCTGATGTGGGAAGATCAGTCTAGATGGCAGGAGGCAGAAGAACTGGTTCCTGTGGCCTTGGTGCCAACAGTGTAGGACAGTGGAAGAGAGCTGTCTACCAGGGCTGGCCCTTCGAGCGTGTCTGTCTTTGTGCCTTCCTGGACAGGTGGGCTGTAGGCTGTGGAGGGCGCTCGGCCCCGCTCGGGGGAGGCAGGGGCCTTCTCTTCTGCTCTGTGTCCTTTCCGTTTCCTCCACCTTGCGCAGACTTTGGTTTAACTCTTTCCTCCCCCGTTGTTTGCTTCTGCCAAGCTGAGCCACGGAGGAGCCACTGTGCTGCAGACACAGCCGTGGAAAGCACAGGCTCCTGCCCCCGCACCGAGCCTCGACGACAGCTCTGAAGACCCAGGCCCAGCCCTGCCCGTAGGATCTCCTTTCAGCGCTTGGTCTGGCAGATCAAACCCAGCCATGGAGGCAGAGAAGACACCAGGCGTCTAGCCGACGGGACCATAACTCTTGGTGGCCCAAGAGTGGCCTATCCAGGACATGTGTTTTTAATAGGAAAATGTAATCTTTTTTTTATATATATAAATTTTTAATACTTGGTTCCAGCTTCTGGATAAAGCTGTCGATCAAGATGACAGGAAAAGACCTCATCTGTCCAGCCCTCTGCCTGCAAGATGGAGTCCCAGCCTGGGGGAGACTTGGGGCAGAGTTGAGACTTCAGACTTTTGTTCCCAGCTACTAGTCTAGAGCTGGACTGGGGTGATGGCCCTTGGCCAGAGCAGAAGTTTCTGGGGTTCCAGTGGGGATGAGCAAGTAGTTTGTGGTGTGGGGAACCCCTTGGTACTCTCCTGTCCACGTTAGCACTGCCCACAGCAGCTGTGCCGTGTGCTGGCAGGCTTTAGCAGCCGTGTCAGAAGGGAGAAGTGGCTTTGTTTGGGGCGCTAGTGGTTATCAGCTAAGATTGCAGCTTGCCAGCTTGGAACTTGGCTGGCCTCACTCTGGTTTTTTGACTGTTGTTTCCTCTTGCTGGACAAGTCTGTTCCAGATGTGGAAAAGGCTATGTCCAGTGACAGTCTTCCCGGCCATGGTCTTGAGGACAAGCTGGTGTCCCTTAGACTCTTCTGCTAGCTTTGCTCTTTAGAGTGACTTAGGTGGCAGTCATCCTCCCGGGTCTGAGGAGCGGTGAGGAGCAGAGTCCTGGGGATGGGGACGGCCAGGCCAGCCACTCCCCGGCGTTCCTGGAGTGGAGAGCGAAGGAGGGAAGCACTGAGCCCGTGGGTGCGTTAGCAGGCGGCAGGCCTCTCTGGCAGCACGCATTCTGGTCTTGGGGGCAGGAGGCCCGGCTTGAGCAGATCTGTGACTGCAGCTCGGGGTGTGCGCATGGAGCACTGCTCCTTGGGAAGCAGGGTTTACCTCTGCTAGGCCTGTGGGCTTTTTGTCCTTCCTGGGAAGAAGCCAGTGGTCCTCCACTGCTAGGTACTGGCCACAGAACTTCCTTTCCCTGCTTCACACTCTCCGCCCCCACCTTGCAGGAATCCTGCTCCCAGAGGTGAGCTCAGTGGTAGGCACGAAGCCTGGGGACACTGCAGACACTACGATTAGCTCCAGCTGCATTTTGTTCTAGAAATCCCAGGCAGGCACTTCCCCTTGACGCTGCTATGTCTTATTTATTCAGGGTGTTTCTACCAGAAAGTCTCTAGCTTGTCTGCTCTGGGTCTCCTTTCAAGATTGGTTTCTGAATAGTCAAATTCCTCTTCTACTCCTCGGGGTGGGTCTCTCCCTTTCAGGACAGGTGCCAAGTGGAAGGGTCTGCCTTTGGCACTTGTACAGGTCATGCCCTATGGCAAGACCAAGGCTGTGAAGGAACCATTCTGGTCAGAGTGGTACAACGTGCCCAGTGCCCTTGCTGCAGTGGCCGCAGGCTCCCTTCCTGGCCTCCCAGCCAGCCAGCTGCCCTGAGCAGGAGGCCCGCTCCAGCGGGCTCTGCCTCTGAGGTTGCCTATTTGGGAGTTCTCCAGAAGCCTTGGGTTCGAACACTCAGAACCCACGGCTGCAGTCGTCACGGTGTCTCACAGTCGGCTAAGCTACAGGTCACAGGAGTTGTTGCTCATGGCAGACAGTGGGACTGGATTGTAAGAAAAATGTTATTTAATCTTTGTTTCCATATTTTGATACTTGAATGACTTCCCTTTTGTTTTACTGTACATAAAATTGTTAATCTGTCCAATTTTGTTTGAATTATGAATACCTTGTGGTACCAAACATAACCGACCGTGCAACAGCATAGGCTGACCTCACTACGGAGTGCGTCTCCTGGGCTTCCGGCTCTGTCTGTTATTTTCGTAGCTGTACAGCTTAGGACAGACTGAGCTAATAAAGGAGAACGGTGGAAACCAGCCATCGCTTCTGAGTCTGAATTGAAAAGCTGCTTTCCTCATGTTACGCATGGACACGGGCTAGATGCCACTGCAGGTCGAGGACCTGTGTCCTTCAGCAGGCAGGCGCCAAGGAAGCCCAGGCAGCCAGGCCTGTTTGCAGCAGGATCCTTAGGGACATGACCGAACCACAAGGGATGCGTGGCCACAGATGGGTTTTACACCTTGTGCCAGGCTCCCCCACAGATGTCCACTGAGGTCTGTATGGAGCGTGAGGTCTAAAGCTGGAAGAACTGCTCCCCTAGCTGGGCTGCAAGATTTGTGCTGAACATGCGCAGCTCAGTGCCCAAAGCCTCCATCGCAGGGTCTTACTGAGAAAAGCCCTGTCAAGCATGCGCTAAAACCCTGATACATTTTTATGTGCTCAGCTCTATATAAAACCAAACATCTCTGCATAGCAAAATGCAGCCACTCATAAAAAGAAACAACTGGAATTAATGTTTGTACCACATGAAACCCAGGGTGACTCGATAAGAAGACTGGGAACATCTGCTTCCCTTCTTCAGGACAGTTTAAACCCAGGACAGATACAATGGAAACACCAACTGGCTGGGCGGAGGCAGTGAGGGAGGCAAGCAAAAGCCGTTGTAGATCAGCACCAGGGAAGAGGCAGCCTTGAAAGACAAGACAGTTCGGTTCTGGTCTTTGCTCCCCTTTATCCAAATGCCACAGGGGAGCTTGGCTGTCTACTTGAGGCTCTTCATGAGGACAGTGGTGTTGGCTGAGGCCAAAGGAGGAATCTGGATCTGTCTAGCATGGCTGCAGGGAAGCTGTGTCATCCCTTTGCTAGCAGAGCGGTGGCCAACAGCAGCAGTTCCAGCCAGGCATCAGTCCTGTGGCGGGCGGCACAAGTCTACAGCCCCAGCTTTCAGGAGGCAAAGGCACAGAGGGCTTGCATTCAGAGCAGCTTGGACTCAGAGTGCAGAGTGGGCAAACTCTCTGGTGGACTATTTCAAAAAGGAAAAATACTACTAAATAAATAAATAAATGCCTTAATCACAGTTTTGGCAAGAAACCCAAACCTGCTGATAGCAGAACAAACCTGAAAATGGATAAACCCAACAAAATCCTTACCCAAGATACTAGTACTGCATAATCAGATTTCTGAAGAAAAAGTAATTTGGGGGAGGGGAGGGATTTTGAGACAGGGTTTCTGGCTGTCCTGGGACTTGCTCTGTAGACCAGGCTGGCCTTGAACTCAGAGATCTGCCTGCCTCTGCCTCCCAGTGTTGGGATTAAAGGTGTGTGCCACTACAAGAAAAGCAATTGGATGACATGGAACTTGTCTTCAGCCCACACCACTGCACACAGTGGCACATGTCTGGTCTTATAACCCAGCACTTGGGATGCTAGGGTGGTGTGTCATGAGCTAAGGTTACTCTGGGTTATGTCCTGAGTTCTAGTACATTCCTGGACTAGAGTAAGACCCTGCACCTCAAAAAAAAAAAAAAAAAAAAAAAAAAAAAAGGGGTGGGAGGGGAGGAAGGAATTGACAAACCAGAATCTTATGTAGTTGGCATTTTGGGGGTCACCAGCCAGCCCCATATAAAGACATGGAGACTTAGAATACCCTGCCTTTACTTGGGCTTGCCCCACTAGCTCTTTTAATTAAGCCTGTTTCTTTTCCCTTACATTTTGTCTCAGGGCTTTTTACCTTTCTTTCCTTCTGTGTGCTCTGCTTTCCTGCTTCCTCTGTGCCTGGCTGGCCCCTGGCATTTCCCTGGTGTCTTTTTCTGTCTTCCCCTAAGCCTAAATTCTTCCTCCTACTTACTCTCCCTGCCTGAAGTCCTGCCTGTAATACCTCCTCCCTCACTCTTGGCTGTTCAGCTTTTTGTTAGACCATTCAGGTGCCTTAGGCAAGCAAGGTAAAACAGCAACACATCTTTACATAGTAAAACACACCCTTGCAAAGTTAAATATTCCACAACAATCCTACCTCATCGAAAACAAGTCAGTATTTTTCAGGAAGGAACCAGAATCAGGGCCTTTGAGGGTGAAAGAAAATGGAAGAACTTTGTCACCAGAAATTGACCCAGAAAAGCTGGTGGGAAAGTTAGCCAGACCGAAACCTTGGCATAGCAGGAAGGTCAGCCACAGAAACACAAGCATGCTTTAATGCAAGACTCGGGCTGCAAGCCCTTGCCTGTGTACCTGCAGCAGTGGACAGCGTGGTCAGCCACGGCTCAAAGGCACAGGAGGGAGGACAACACTGGGTTTATCACACTGTGACTGTATGGGTGTGGGCCGTGGGGACTGAACTCAGGCCAGCGAGCTTAGTTAGCGCCAAGCACCTCTCCCAGCTATGCCCTCTCCCCATTTTAAGTGGCAGTAACAAAGGGACTTAAAGGGAGATATTGAGAGGTCAAGTTTCTGTTACTTGAACTGGTAGATGACTGTGGCAAGCGACAAATTCAAAGCTCCTTTTTTAAAAAGCTGTGGAGAGGACACTACAGATAAAGCGGTGTAGGCATGTCAGAGTGCTGGGTGTGGCCGTGAGGCCTGTGGCTGGGCACTTACATCACAGATCCAAGGCTAGCCTGGGCAACACCAAGACCCCATCCTCAAAAGTCAAGGAACTCCAAGAGGCAGGAAGAAAATAGAGAAATAACAGTAGTGAGAAACCAACAGCAGCGACCTCCAACAGTCAGTTCCTTTCCTACCCAGGACAGAACACCTGAAGAAATCCCGCTACCTTGGCTGTGGGCTGCACAGCTCCAGAGCATGAGACTAAGCAGGTAAAAACCTGCTACTGCAGGACTCCTTGCTTTGTGGTGGTTAGGAAAGGGCCTAGGGGGCAGAGAAAGACAGAGAGGGCCGAGGAGAAGGAGAAGGTATGGTCCAGTTGTCTGCTTCCTACAGCCACGGGCCTCGCCTACAGAAGTTCCAATCCCTCCATTAAATAAAGCCATCAAATTATGAATCAGTCTGTGGGATAATCAGGTTGGGTCAGACCCCTCACCTCTGAACGGATGACTTGATCAAATCTACAAGCTGTGCTCCAGGTCTTCAACACAGGAACCCTTTGGGAAATGCTTCATAGCCAAACATAATATTATTAAATATAAATTGTTTTCAAATATCAGTTTGTAGTAGCACACACCTGTAATCCCAGCATGAGGGTCAGGAATTTAAGGCCATTCTCAGCTACACAAGTTTGAGACCAGCTTAAGTCTTAAATAAATGAAAAATACAAACAACAATAGTCTGACACTGTTTTGAAATACCAAAGAATGGGAATACAAGAGAAGCAGATTTTAAAATCTGATCAGAGGGCCTAGAGAGATGGCTTGGTGGTTAGGAGCACTGGCTGCTCTTGAAGACACCCAGGTTCAGTCCCTAGCACCCGTATGGCAGTGCACAGCCAAGTGTAAACTCCAGCTCCTGGGGATCCAACGCCCTCTTTGGTGTCCATGTGCATACACATGGCACACTTACATGCAGGCAAATACTCGTACATATTAAAAAAAACTCTTTCAAAGCTAATGTGATCCAAAGTTAGGAGTGTAGGATAGAAGGGGACTTGCCCTGTATGCATGCACAAGGCCTGGGTTAGGTTAGGATGGATGGATCAGCCACATGTCCCCAAGGAACTCACATGGAGCGACAGTCAAAGCAAAGTAAAAAGGGTCGGGAAACACTCCTGCCGCCAAGACTGACAGCCTGAGCTCGGTCCCTGGAACCCAAATGCTGAGAGAGAATGAACTGTTCCAAGTTGTCCTTTGACCCTCACAGGAACCCATGTGCTCATCTGCATATATACATGCACAGTAAACAATCCTGAAGGTCGCTGGGTTGTGGTGGTGCAGCCTTTTAATCCCAGCACTTAGGAGGCAGAAGCAGGTGGATCTCTTGAGTCAAGGCCAGCCTGATGTACAGAATGAGTTCCAGTAAAACCACCTCTCAAAAAAACAAAAACCCTAAAGGTAGGGGAAATATACAAATAAAGGCGTAGCTCATAAAGAACAAATCACAAGACAGAATACCATTACATGATGACAGAAGGTCACAGTGTGAAGGTTATAAGGACCACGGCCTCTCTCCTTTCCCCCTCACCCCATGTGCACAAACACGCAACCCCTCTAACAAGGAAAAAATCCTGAGATGGGAAGGTGGCCACCTACGGCCCTGGAAAAGATCCCTCACCACAAGCAGCCCTTCCTGGCCTTCGTCCATGCTTTCCCTGCCTCCAGAACAATGAGAAATAAACACCTGGGCTATGGTATTTACAACAAATAATACAAAAACAACTCTCCCTTATCTGCTTGTGGGCTCCCACAGTTGTGAATGAATTTTGATCCACGTGCATATAATTGTGTAAATGAAAGCCATGTGTGTGCATGCACCTGCAGAGGTCAGAAAGCGGCATTGGGTCCCCTGGAGCTAGAGTTCCAGATGCTTGTAAGCCACCCAAACATGGTGCTGGGAGCCAGACTCGGGTCCTCTTGAAAAGCAATAAGCACTTTAACTGCTAAGCCATCTCTCCAGCCCGAAAACAGTATTTTTTACATTTATTTTTTGTGTATGAGTGGCTTGCCTGCATGCATGGTGCCTGCAGATGAGGCCATCGGATCCCCTGGAGCTAGAGTTTTAAAAGGTGGTGAGCACCGTGCGGGTGCTGGGAATCACACTCCTGCCCTCTGGGAGAGCAGCCACTACTCAACCACTGAACCCTCTCTACAGCCCCTAACTGAATTATACTAAACACAGACTTTTGCCATTCCCTAGGCAATGCAGTAGTTATTTACATAACATTAACCAATGAGTTATTGTATGTAACAACTGTTTAAAGCACGCAGGAGGACGTGTGTAGGTTATATGCAGTTTCTATGCCTTTCATTCATGGGTTCATGCAAACTTGTGGGTTTTGTTATTTGCAGGGGGTCCCTGGAATCTCCTGCCAATATCACAGGGCAGCTATATAGACTTCCACATCCCTTTATCAGCCACAGATCAAAGTAGGC